GGGGGGGGGGGGGTCTGATTCAATAACATATCACATTACTTTTTCAGCAGACATCAGAAGGATTTTTTGTATGCCATGTACAGCAAAAACATGTACTATATGAGCCAGCTACCAAGATAAAATTTGTCAAAAAAATATTCATGGAATTAGGACATGATTCAAAGGAAGATAAAAACAAAACAAAAACAAAAAACCCCCCGGAAATTTTGTAGGGATGGCCAAGAAATGCAAAGATAGGTATAAGACCCACTTCTAGTACAAAAAATCATATATCATAAGCGTCAAATATGATCTGGAAAATATTGTAGACTTTCTACAAAGAATATTATATTATGTAAAATAATATAGAAATACTATATATAAAATATACAAGGATTTTAATAAAAATAATTTATTTGTAATAATTTTAATAATTTAAAAATATTTGATAGAATTACATAAATTAATATATAAAATGCTATGTAAATCCAAATATATAGTTATAACTACATATATAAACATAAATCCAAATATTTAGAATTATTAGATTTACAAATATATATATATTCAGATTTCATATATTTATTTCCTCTTTTGCCCCCATAACATAACATAAAAACATAATATGCACCTACTTTGAAAACCCCTGATATTACAAAACAAAAGATTCTTCTCTGAGACAAACCTTTATTCTGTAGGATGAAGGAGGAGATTATTTTGTCCCATTCTGGGTTTTTAGTATCCAGCAGAACCAGTACGAGGTCAAAGCGGCTCAGCAGGGGGCTGGCGAGGGCCACATTCACAGAAACTGACACATTAGGGTCATACTGCCCCTTTGGGTTAGTAGCTGCCAGGATGGTGGTCCTTGTGTCCAGTTTGCACACCATTCTACAAAAGAGGAACTTGGGACTTTTAATGTGATGCACACAAGCTTTTGGTTAATAAAAAAAAAAAAAAAAAAAAAAAAAAATGCACACATTGTTTTCAGTGAAATTTTGTATTCCCCCCTCTAGGCGTTTGTGACTCAGGGGTGTGACATTATTTCCCCCAGCACTCACCCAGCTTTGGCCACGCTGATGGTTTGTTGCTCCATGGCCTCATGGATGCTAGTGCGGTCATGCTCTTTGATGCTGTTGAATTCATCGATGCAGCACAGGCCTCCATCAGAGAGAACGAGGGCTCCAGCCTCCAAGTGCCACTCACCAGAGTCCTTGACAGCCGCCACTGTCAGACCTGACCAGCATCACAATCATGCAAACAATGATGCAACAGCACTAAATGCTTACTGCACAGTAGAACTGAATAGTGCATAGTATGTGTCAAAAATAGTGTGTATATGCAGCAATCTGAAGAGCATTGCAAACTGCACAGGGAGCAAGTGCACAACAATATTTAACTTCATAGGACGTGGACAAAAATTTTTACCAATCAGACACTGCACACCACCTCAGTACTACACAAAGTTTGGTTCTGGCTCTATTTAGCTCCTATTTCTTCACACATTTTAGTGGTTTTAAATAGGAAGAATTATACTATTTATAGTACAATATAATTTATATAAAACACACCACCACCAGGTTTTGGGTTGGTACAATTAAAAAATATTTCTGAATTGTTAAAAATGTTTTATGCCCACCAAGGCTGCATTTATTTAATCAAAAATACACTAAAATATGTGAAATAGTATTGCAATTTAAAACAGCTATATGTACTTTAATATACTTTAAAGTGCAATTTATTCCTGTGATGCAAAGTTGAATTTTCTGCAGCCATTACTACAGTCTTCAGTGTCACATGATCCTTCAAAATCATTCTAATATGCAGGTTTTCGTACTATTATCATTGTTTTTGTGGAAACCACGATAATTTTTCATGCGTCTTTGATGAATAGATAGTTCAAAATAACAAAGTTGTTCCAAACCCATATGGGTTTCTTTATTTTATAGATATTATAGAATAAGATATTTTGAAGAATGTTGGTAACAAGCATTTGCTGGTAGCCATTGACTTCCATAGTAGGGAAAAAAATACCATGGAAGTCAATGGTTACTGTCAACTGTTTGGCTACCAACATTCTTCAAAATATCATCTTTTGTCTTCAACAGAAGAAAGAAACTCAGGTTTGGAACAGCATGGGGGTGAGCAAATGACGACAGCATTTTTATTTTTGGTGAGCTATCCCTTAAGCAAAGTATACTATTATGCTATTAAGAACATTGTGCTTCTTGTAAATGTTAATGATATGGTGATGTGAGGTTCAGAAGAATGTGTGGAACCTGCATTAGTAGATCCGATTCCTGCGGTGAGCACAGAGCGTGGTGTAATCTTAGCCGCGTACTTCAGAAACTGTGACTTCCCAGTGCCTGGATCGCCCACGAGCAACAGATGAGACTCTCCTAAATAGAGCGCATACTTTGAGTCAGAGCTATTCACATCTATTCACAAGAACAACACATTTTTCAAGCACACCTCTGAACTTTGTTTCATGAAAGTCTAAATGTCAGACTGCCATTATTTGAAATGTGAACGCATACCTCTCACCTTGGTTCCAGACGCATCTATTCTCTGTACCCCACCTGCCAAAACCATAGCAACAGCCAGCTTCACGATGTACATGCCGAACACCTGAGGGCAAAGACTCATCAAGATCTCATTCCTGCCTTCAGAATGTCAAGAGAGAGAGAGAAAGAATAAGAAAGACAGATTTTATGATTCATAACCCACACTGAATCCCATGAGTTGTTTTACATTATGATTGGCTGCTAGGGTGTTCTAGGAGGTTACTATGGTGTACTGGGATGTAGCCACGGTGTTTTGGGAATTTGCTAAAATGTTCTGGGTGGCTGTTAAGGTCCTCTAAGCCAGGGGTTTTCAACCTTTTAGGACATGCGCCCCCCTCAGTTGGTCTAATTTCACTCACGCCCCCCCAACATCGCCACCCTAGATTGCCCCCTAGTGGATGGCTAAAGATTTGTTAACTCGTATTCATAAATTCTCAAGAGAACGTCTCTGAATTAACTGACAGGTTGAAGCCCCACAGGTTGAAAACCCATGCTCTAAGCAGTTGGTAGTCCATTACTAGGTGGTTCCCTATGTTTTTCCCCACTTTTTTCTAAAATCCACCATGTGAAAATCATACATTTGACTATTTAGAAAAGTAATAAAACACTTTTGCTCAAAAAGCCACATGATTTGAAGTATTATTCTCCATATAATGTTGTTCTCCGCACAAACGATACAGGATGAGTTCAATGCCAAAGTTTAATACTTGCAGTTAGGGATTTGTTCAAACCCCTAACCCAATAACCCTATGAGCAACAGTTGCCTAATAGTGATAATATGCCTCAGAAAACACCACTGTCAACAGATTACAACAATGTGTCATGCTCCTAATCAACTGAACTTCCTCTACAGGGACCAGAATTGAGTTTGGATAGCAATAAGAAAGAGAGAAATCTTTTAATTGCTGAGAAGACATGGTATTAAAATGGTATTGTTTATTTGTACTAGACTGGGATTCCCAGATTCAATATTTTAAAAGACACCAACCAGCAATGGGGTCATGTTTGTGACTGTCCCAGAAATCTTCAAACTCCTTCTGAATGTCTTCTAGCACCAGTGTTGTGGTGGATTGCTCATTATTGACCTCGATATAGTTTGCTTTCAACACAATCTCCACATCACAGCGGCAATCCAGAAACATCGGCTTCCAGCGCTGACACACCACTCCATACACTGTGATGTCATCGCCTGCGAGAACCACATGACAGCATCATACAAGGGAAAAAGACACATGATGTTGCCCTGAGGAATGTTACTATTATATCAGTAAAACACACACACATTAAAAATTGCACACGTTTTTTTAAAATATAATTAAAATAGATTTTAATATAAATCAATTCTACAAATGTTATTATTTACAATTTTATTGTTATTGCACTGAAGCACATAACTGATTAAAATTTTTTAAAGCCAGTCTTATACAATGCAGTATTAACGGTGAGCAGTATAATTGTGTGATACAGATTTCAGTCATGCACTGTCAAACTATTAAAGCCAGTAAATATATGGATAAACTACAGACTGGTCTTTATTTTCACCAGTACTCAGCATTTACCTGGTTTGCAGCGGTCCACAAGATCGTCCTCCAGGATGATGAGCATGGATCGAGGGATACTGCCAACCGACAGTTTCTGTACCTGTTGGTGAAGGTGCGCTGGTCAGGAAGTTTTTTCTCTTACATTTTTGTTGTGAATGCTTTTACATTACATTTATGTATATTATTTTACTTAAAGTTGTTTATTTGAATTTTTATTTTATTGAAATTTTATTTTATCATTACTAATATTTTATTTTAAATAATTTAAATTTTTTATTTAATATAATTCAATTGACATGTTGTCTCAGCCTTGGACATCATGCCCACAGACCGTTGGCTGAACGTATGATACATAAGGTCAAAGGCGTAGTTTTGATTTTGACATTGGAGGGACATAACAGCATTTTTGCATTTATGATAGACTTCTGACCACAGTTTTGTGTCATCTAAAGTCTTTATTTATAGCTATGGTAGTATTATGGTTAATTCAAAAAGAGAGCTTTTTATGTTCAATAGACAATAATCACACAATTTTGAGTAAAACAAACAACATTGCAGCAGCATCAGAGTGCTGAGTTGCTATAGTAACAAACATAGATATGTATACGTAGATGCCTCATTAGCGACGGTTACTATGGGTCTCTATATGTAAGCCTCAGTTTTGTGTCATCTAAAGTCTTTATTTATAGCTATGGTAGTATTATGGTTAATTCAAAAAGAGAGCTTTTTTATGTTCAATAGACAATAATCACACAATTTTGAGTAAAAGAAACAACATTGCAGCAGCATCAGAGTGCTGAGTTGCTATAGTAACAAACATAGATATGTATACGTAGATGCCTCATTAGCGACGGTTACTATGGGTCTCTATATGTAAGCCGTCTGCCATATTCGAAGGGTCAACTTGACGTCATTTACCATAACAGTAACAAGTTACCAATGTTTCAAAACTTGTAATATTGAGTTAATACATTTAAAAACACAAACCAACACATTCTCGCCTGTGAAAGGTTATTCCGATTTGGGACAAAATCCCGGCGGTTTTTACAACTATCGGCTGTGCAGGATTATGGCACCTTCGAATATTAATTGATTATTATGGTGAGTGACGTCAAGTTGACCGTTAAAAATGGCGGACGTGTCTACATGCTTGGCACCATAGATATGTATAGATTCCCCCTTCGACGGCTCCAGGCACGTAGATGCGGCCGCCATCTTGGAACGGTTAACTTGACGTCATTCATCATACTGTAGGTTCTCACAGAGCTGTTGAGCCGTTCTGTGCAGGATTGTGGCATCTTTCGAATATTCAATGAATACTATGGTGAATGACGTCAAGTTGACCGTTACAATATGGCGGACGGCTTACGTATAGCGGCCCATAGAAACAGTCGCTAATGAGGCATCTACATATATACATCTATGCTTGGCACCGTCGAATGGGGAATCTACCTATCCACCTTTTTCTTGTCGTAAAAATGGGCGCGGCCATTTGTAAATTATATGGGTCTGGCTTCCGGTCTCATCTGCGTCCACTCCGTCCAGCTATTTTTAGCTGAGCAAAACAGTTCGTTTTGCTGCTTGATATTGAAAGTTGGTGTGTCTTATCATATTTTAATGTATTATCTTAATTATGAACACACTGGTTTGTAGTGCAAACAGTTTTACCATTTACTGCACGTTGTTATTCTCCTCGTTATTTACCTATAGCGGCTAATGAACCGGAAGTCTCACCCATAGGCTTACTTCCGCGTTGAAGAAAAAGGTGGATACATATCTATGGTAACAAACCCAGGACCCTACTGTTGCAATAGTAACAAACACAACTTCTGACAAACACACACATCTGATTGACAGCTAAACCCCACACTCTGATTTCAGAGTTGTTTTTTAATTTATGGATATTTCAGCCAACAGTTTGCTTTGTACTTTCGGTTTAACAGCATACAGCTAAAGAGGGTAAACTTTATCATTCTACTGAACTGTGCATGTATGTTTTAAACACTTAGGCTACCTTACGTTCTTACTCCGCCCATGTATTAAATGTATGTTCTTGAAAGTGCAGTTTTCTAGCGTATTTACTTTAACTTCTCAGGCAATATCAATGGTATGACCTATTTCAGATGCGGCCGAAATTACAACATTGATTATACATACATTTAATTATTTGATCAAAATTATTGCAAGGGACAATTTAGTAGGCGCTGGATACTGTCCCTAGTGTACCTACTACATTCTACGCCCTTGCATAAGGCACACGAAATGAAAAACACTTTGTGAATTTCAAAGTCGTCATCTGCCAAACCCCCTCTTGGAAAAAGAAAGCTGAACTGAACTATTTCTTTAGCACCAGGTTGCCTGTCTGTGAATAAACAACATCATCTCACCTGCTCTTGGATTTTGATCTCCTGGTAGTCCTTGCAGGCGCCCGGAGGGGCGTCACTTCCTGACAGGCAGGTGAATTTGAAAGAATTACATCCATCCTCATTGGGGCAGCTGGTGGGTGGAGTGAAGGTGTAAAACTGCTCAAAAGAAGCCTGCACGGAGAACACGTGCCTGCATTTATTGCACATGTAGTCTCTCTCATACTCCAGCACTTTGGTGACACTGGTGCGGATGACCGTGCCCGTGACGGACAGGAAGTGGCCAACATCTCTAGCTTTAGGAATGTGATCTCTGGTCAGCTCGGGACACATAGGTAAACCTGCAAATGTGTAGTAAGGGGAAAAAGCCATATACTGGATTGGAACAACATGAGGGAAAGCAAACATCGACAATTTTTGGGTGAACTACTCTTGAAGGAATAAGCATGTATTATATTAAACACTAGGTGTCAGTGTCATTCCACCACAGACTTCTTGGACACTGTTTTGGGAAGTTATGGTCTCCTACTGCTAGATGGCACTGCATTTTCATTCATGAAAAGTTCAAAAGCAGTTACAGTCTCTTGCACTTTCTTGCATAATAATTTAAATCGGAGGCACATTCAATATTTGAATATGACCTGCCCTGTCATGGTTGCATCATAGAAAAACATAAAAGAAAGAAGAACCAAAAATGTCAAAGCTACTTAGGCAATAAAACTGCCCTCAGTTTTTCTTTCCCCTCCAACCATAGACACAGACTGCAGTGGCTGCAGAGAAAATGGGTTTCAGTAAAGTGTGTTCATTCGAATGAGTCACATCTGCATGGCTACAGATGAAGAGCGTGTAATTACAGGAGACGGCAATCATCTCCTGCAGAACATGAGAGAAAAGCATTTGGCTTCACCACAATGCAATACGATCCATCCCACATACCTCAGGGATCAAACACAAGCCTCCCCTCTCAGCCTACACATCATCTAAAACAATCTTCATACTCTTCCTCTCTACGTCAGTCTGCTGTTTTTAGATAAGCAGATTAGCAACGGACGAAACACTGTATATTCATGATCATGATTTTGATTAAAAGCACCTTTGTGAAAACTGCACTGATTTTAAGGATGTTGACCACTGTTTCCCAAACAGATTGTGTCATTAGACAAGAACACAATGTTGTTGTTTTTTAAAAGCACAAAACAAAATCTCTTAAAATCCTTTACAAAATTCTTGAGAGAACTATTTCCATAGTTAGAAACAGGTATTTTTAAATGGAACAGTCTCTCTGATTTAAACATCTGCAGCACAAACAGTATTCGAGTTTGTACTCGTATAATCACTGAAAAATGTACACAAAAATGTTCCACTTTTCATGCATTACAATTTTTCTTTATATGCGAGTAAAATAATGCTGGTAACACTTTACAATAAGGTTACATTTTTTAATATTAGTTAATTATATTAGTAAACGTGAACTAGCAATGAAAAAACTTCTAATCCATTTAGTAATCTTAGTTATCTTTTAATTTTAATAATGCGTTAGTATATTTTGGAATTAACATTGTGTCTGTTAATATTACTTAATGGGCCTGAGCTGCTGGCATGAACTAACAGTGATCATTTGTATTTTTATTAACTAACGTTAACAAAGATTTAAAAATACTGTAACAAATGTATTGCTCATTGTTAAGTAATATTAGTTAATACATGAACTAACATTAACTAATGGGACATTATTGTAAAGTGTTACCATAATATTTTACCTACATGTAAAAAATTGAAATAAAAAATAAATAACGTTTACATTTTTATTATTATTTTTTTAAGCAGGGATGCGTCAAATTGATCAAAAATGACAGCAAAGACCCTTACATTTTTACAAAAAATAAATTAATGTATTAAAAAATTGTGTTATTTTGAACTTTCATCAAAAATATGTATCATGGTTTTAACAAAAATATTAAGCAGCAAAATTGTTTTCAACATTGTCATCACAGGAATAAATTAATTTTAATATTAAAATTAAATGTATAATATTAAAATAATAACATTATTCATATTTTAATAATATTTCCCAATGTTACCATTTTTACTGAATTTTTGACCATAAGAAACTACTTTTAAAAGCATTTAAAAAAAATTAGACCCCAAACCTTTTAACAGTAGTGTATGTGGGTAAATATTGCTGTTTTCTATGCACTTATTTTAGTGGATATAAATGAACAGAGAGGAAAACATGCCTCAATGATTTATGTAGTATTTAACATATATATTTTGAATCTACTTGCCAACAATTATTCAGTTGAAATGCTCCTTTGATTGAAAAAAAAATAAAAAAAACAGCAAATACATAAATACTGACATATAGAATATAAAAGGCTGAAAGATAGCAATATATTAGCTCTATCACCCAGCCTGACCTTTACTGAGTGTCTTTCTTTATAATACAGGCACGTCACACCTCTTCAGGAAGACAACAGACGATTTTACCCACCAGGTTTGCTGAGCGAGACCACCTGGATACACAATATTACTCACTAATGACCTTCACCAAAGCATGAAAGCATCCAGACACATGACGTGCTTGTTCTTCGTGATACGGCCAACGGTCTGTGAGCTTTTTATGGCTGTGTGTCCTATTTTCAGACCCCTTTCATATTCACAGCACGCTGGATCTATGAGTGGAGTCTGCACTCAGGCTATTTATATCTCTCCTTTGTCCACAAATGGGATAAAACATCCAGGGAACAGGAAAGGTCAGTCAGCTGATTATTGCTTACACACTCCCTACAGCAGTCGGAGTCTTGGCTACATCCATCTAGAAATGGATCACATTTACATGAGTGGTGCTCCTCGGCAAGACAAAAGTCAACAACATGATGCCTGATATAGCAATGTGATTGCTAAGGTGTTTCGAACAGTTTTTCATGCATTGCTATACATTGTTTTTTTGCATGTTTGTCACACTTTAATGTTTGCTGTAACAGACTCATTGCAAGTTATCGCAAACGCTTGATTGCAGTTGTTGCTGCTAAGGGTGGCCCAACCAGTTATTAGGTTTAGGGGGCAAACACTTTTTCACACAGGGCCATGTAGTTTTGGATTTTGTTTTCCCTTAATAATAAAAACCTTCATTTAAAAACTGCATGTTGTGTTCACTTGTGTTATCTTTTACTAATATTTAAATTTGTTTGATGATCTGAAACATTAAAGTGTGACAAACATGCAAAAAAATAAGAAATCAGGAAGGGGTCCAGCACTTTTTCACACCACTGTGTGTATATATATATATATATATATACACACAAAAAACTAAATTATGACAAATGTTATTTTAAAAATTATAGTTTTTACTAATATTTTAAAATAGCATTTATTGTCATTTTTGTTGAATTTTTAGTGCCGTTTTCATTTTTATTATTGCGGTCATTTTTCATATATTAGTATTTTGTTTTAATTTATTTTTATTTCAGTTTTACTTATTTATGTTCATTTTAGCAATTTTAGGGTTTAGTAATGTTATTGTGGAACTTGTTGACTTTTGATGAGTTTGAGCGTGTGATGCGCACTGTGAAAAAGTGTGTTGGAAACACAAATTGAGGACCAATCTGCACCTTATTGATCCCCCGTGGCGTTAATATACTGCATCTGTGCCAGTGCGGGATGTAATAAAACTGCAGCTCGTGAATAAACTTGTATTTTTTTTTTATCCATTTTATAATTTTTGGTCATACAGTGAAGGCATAATTCGAAAAGTGTTAGCAGTTTGAAAATTCAAGAATAATAGCAAAGTTAATAAGAATTCTTTCTAAATGCAGCACTGTTCTTATTTTGCTCTGCATAACCTGAACGAAATTTTTTTTATTTTTTTTTGCTAAGAACGAACCGAAATGAAAGCATTTAGCTTTTAATCCGTGTATTTAACAGCCTGGGAGACCTTCCCAAGGCAGTACCTTGCCTCAGCGACTAAAATCAGGGCACCCACTACGGAGACGGCACCAGAGGTGAGGGGGCACAGTGACCGAGGTGGCCGGGCCAGGCCCCCCCGTGGCGCCGACGCTGAATGGGGATGATTGTACTGAGAATAACTTTCATCTTTTCTTCAACTGAATACTGTTTCCGTGCTGTTTTGATGTATTTTAAAGAGTTGGCAGTCAAAATTAAAACTGCTGGATGAAAGATATTCTTCATTCTTTATGACAAACAAGATAATGTGAATTACAGAATGTACAACGTTTTAAACCAACGTTTTAATCAATTTCTCCAAATGATTTGAAGATGGTGTAATTTCTGCACCACTACTTAAATCGAAAAAATTATTTCCCAACAGGTTGTTCAGAAAGTTGCACAAACATACAGAAAACGGTATAAAATCCTGGTTGTTGAGCCCTGATACAGGTGTCATTGTAAAAGAGTGGATGTTCTTATACTTGCTTACCTGATATACGAACATGCAGATTGTGTTTGAGTTTGAAACGCTCCTGCGGTGAGGAAGACGCCTGAGATATGGTCTGGGCCACTCTGTGCAGGGCATTGTCAAATATAGGCAGCACCTGGCTGGGGAAAGCATTGAAACACTCTGTATATATATACACATATATATATATATATATATATATATATATATATATATATATATATATATATATATATATATGCACACACATACACTTACCTCTCATCTCCAATTATCAATTTGTCACTGTGGAGGTTATTGTAAAGAAAAAAGTCAAATGACAATAAAAGTGTTTATTTTTCCTTGTTTCAGAGCAATATGTGTTGATGTTTATGAAAATACAGGCATTTTAAATCATATGTTCTTTGCTTTTGGTTCCTTGAATGGTAAAAGTTCACTCACATAACAGACACACTTCATTAAATGTCACAATAATTATTTATTCTTACGCATACACCAGTAATATAAATATAAAATATGCATTTATTTTAAAATTAGTGAGACATCATTATATCTGTGTTGAGACATCCATACAAACAGTTTAATCCTACCAAAATTGATAATGCAGCTGTAACAAAGTCATTACGGTGGCATTCTAAAATTAGATACAGAGGAGACAATACTGTTGTTGTTGTTTTTTCGCTTTTAACAAATAGTAATTAGCAGCATATGCACCACTCTATAGAAACTGCGGTAAATGAAATGTCAAACATACCTATCATCACTGTATAAACAAGAAACCCATTCTTGGCAACAAAAAAAAAACAAATGAAAGGATGTTTTGTTAAATAATATATAATTTTTTTGTCTTTTTTTGTTTGATTTGGTCGACATGCTCTTTAATTGCAAAAGTCAGAAGGAGAAGTACTGAGCGAACCATTCTTGTCTCTGGGGGTCTGGAGAGGTGACGGGTGATTCTTCTCCTTCAGGAGGGCTGAGGAAAAAAACAAACAGAAAGAGAGCGACAGAGATAGAGGGAAAAAAACAGAAAAAAAGACAGTAAGAGACATGGAGAGAATTACAAAACCACTGTTAACTGTAGTCTGGGCTAATCTACAGCTTTTCTCAGTACTGAAAATTTCAAAGCGTAGCAAACCAGTTGATTGTCCTGTTCATCTGTGTTTATTTTATTTTACTTTATTTTGTGTATGTGTGTATATGTGTGTGTGTACTGGTATGGTTTATGAGGACACAAACGTGTATAATGACATGGGTACTACAATGTAAACATGGTTTATGAGGACACTTCCTGTGTCCCCGTAAAAAAAAGGCTTAAAAAACATACAAAACGGTGTTTTATGAAATTCAAAATTTGCCAGTAGTTTTCTGTGAGGGGTAGGTTTAGGTGTAGGGTTGGTGTAAGGCAATAAAAAACACAGTTTGTACAGTATAAAAACCATTACGCCTATGGAGAGTCCTCGTAAACCACAAATGCAAGTGTGTGTGTGTGTGTGTGTACTTTTTAGTGTTTTTTTAATGAGATCCCAGGAACAGAGTGATATCAATAGCCCATTACACTCGCAAAAAGGTACAATGGTACGTGTCATGTAAATACCATAGTTATAAATATGGTACAAATGATCATAGTATCAACATAAAAAAAAATGACATTTATGTTATTTGTTAAAGAAACAAATGAGTTTATCTCCTCAGACTGTTCAAATTAACACTTTTTAAATGAACACTTATTCAGCAATTAAATTGATAAAAAATGACAGTAAAGACATTTATAATGTTACAAAAGATTTCTATTTTGAATAAATGCTGTTTTTTGAACGTCTTAATTACACTGTAATATATATTACATAGAAAACAGGTAGTTATCATATCATTTTAAATGCAATTTAAACTATATTACCGTTTTATCATATTTTACTAAATAAATACATCTGTATATGTATATGAAGATAGAACCTCCAGCTCTTTCCAAGGTCTTCTAGTACCAGAACCCACTTTCAATCCTGATTAATTTAGCCTGCAGGTCAACGTTTATAGAAACACTTTTTATTTGTCCCTCTCTACTGCAGAACATTTCATTGTTTATTCTGAGGAAAGAGCTTTTATAAGCTGCAAGTCAAGGTTTTTTCAGCTAGCTCAGCTGTGTGGTTGAAATGCTGACTGACTGACTGATTAAAGACATTTATAATGTTACAAAAGATTTCTATTTTGAATAAATGCTGTTTTTTGAACGTCTTAATTACACTGTAATATATATTACATAGAAAACAGGTAGTTATCATATCATTTTAAATGCAATTTAAACTATATTACCGTTTTATCATATTTTACTAAATAAATACATCTGTATATGTATATGAAGATAGAACCTCCAGCTCTTTCCAAGGTCTTCTAGTACCAGAACCCACTTTCAATCCTGATTAATTTAGCCTGCAGGTCAACGTTTATAGAAACACTTTTTATTTGTCCCTCTCTACTGCAGAACATTTCATTGTTTATTCCGAGGAAAGAGCTTTTATAAGCTGCAAGTCAAGGTTTTTTCAGCTAGCTCAGCTGTGTGGTTGAAATGCTGACTGACTGACTGATGTCTGGGCTACCACTGACTCTGAACGTTTGCAGCACGATGACGGCTGGCTGATGTCTCCTTCCTGCTTCTTAAAGGGATAGTTCACCCAAAAATGAAAATGTGATGTTTATCTGCTTACCCCCAGGGCATCCGATATGTAGGTGACTTTGTTTCTTCAGTAGAACACAAACAAAGATTTTTAACTCAAACTGTTGCATTCTGTCAGTCATATAATGGAAGTGAATAGGAATCACGGCTTTGAGAGTCAAAAAAACATACACAAACAAAACCAAATTAAACCCTGCGGCTTGTGACGATACATTGATGTGTAAAGACACGAAACGATCGGTCTGTGCAAGAAACTGAACAGTATCTATATCGTTTTTTACCTCTGATTCACCGCAATATCCGAACTGTCCTGAGCGCGTTCTCAACAGCCAGCGCGTGACGTGTCTTCTTCTTCTTCTTGCTTTACGGCGGATCGCAGACTTATAAGTGCATTACCACCACCTATCTCTCATATGGACCATTGACACTCCTAACTGAGATTGTAGATAGAGTGTCAATGTCCATTTGCACAGACTGATCGTTTCGTGTCTTTACACCATCAATGTATCGTCACGAGCCGCAGGGTTTAATTTGGTTTTGTTTGTGTATGTTTTTTTTGACTCTCAAAGCCGTGATTCCCATTCACTTCCATTATGTGACTGATAGACTGCAACGGTTTGAGTTAAAAATCTTCATTTGTGTTCTACTGAAGAAACAAAGTCACCTACATCTTGGATGCCCTGGGGGTAAGCAGATAAACATCACATTTTCATTTTTGGGTGAACTATCCCTTTAAGAAGAGTTTAACGTCTGGAAGTCTGAAGAGTCTGAGTTAGAGAAAAGAAGGAAAGAGAGATCGATCCATCCATCCATCCATCTTCAAATTTATCAAACAAGAACATTCAAACTTTAAAGTCACAGTCACATGGATTTCTTTGAACTTCAATTCATTTTAATCTCCTTGCATTCAAATTAGAATTTGTTCAAACAATTCAAATTCAGGAAGTAAATTGGAATCAAAAAGATCAAAACCTGTAGCCCCTGCCTTCTGGAAACCACTTAAAGCCAGCTAATCAGACTGTAGCTTGATGTTTTGAGATGTTGATGTGCATAATACACTCTCAGAAAAAGGTATAAAAGCTGTCACTGGGGTGGTACCCATTAAAAAGTAACTAATATGTACCATTTAAGTACTAATATGCACCCTTTAGGGGTAAATAAGATACAGAGGTGTACCTTTTTAAAAGGGTACTGCCCCAGTGACAACTTTTGTACCATTTATTTTTGAGAATGTATTAGGGCTGCACGATTATGACAAAAATCATAATTGTCGATTATTCCCTTGAAATTGTAATTACAATTAATTACAATTTATTTTAAATGATGTTTATTCCATTGTTTGAAGCAACTGCATGCCATATTTTTATATAAAAATAAACAAGCTGAAAACACTCAAACTGAATTTTTTTTTTTTGCTTTTCTATAGTATTAAACCTCAAATGTTAACTATACATTGAATTGGTTTCTTCTTTAAATAACAGAATAAAGTAAAAATATGCATGGTATTATAAAGTTATACTACAACTAAAATGTAGTAAAACAATGGAAAAACCCTTAAGATAACCTGTAAAAAGAAAAAAACACATCTTAAGCACACAGAATAACATAAGTGGACTTTGAACAATTAATTGCCGCTTTGAACGATTACATAATTGTGGCATCCGTAATTGTAATCGCGATTAGAAATTCTATTAATTGTGCAGCCCTAGAATGTATCTGACGTTATGCGACATGCCATTTAATTCAGAAACTATGGACTGATAAATATGTAATTTATTACACTAATGCGAAAGTAGTTTGAAAAGTGTGAGTCATGCCACCAGACATGGCAATTAAAATCCATCAACAGACACAAATTCAGTGTTTGAAACAGCTGCAAACAGGTCTTTTGACTTATTTAGAGGCAAATTGGCATCTATGCAAAAATACTGTGAATTATGCAATTTTTAATGCATTCTGATGGCTGTTCACACAGCATTTTTGCTCTATTTTCAATCATTGGTTTATGTAAACATGCTAGACGGATGTGTTTGATCATCATGACACATCTAGCTTATTCTCACACCTTGAATTGAATTTTTAAAAACCCAATAGAAACCACTAATTAAATTAAAGGAAATTTGTACAAGTCATATAAAAAGGATTGTCCATTTAAAAAAATAAATAAAATAATAATAACCTAATTCTCGTTTTAGACAGCATCTGGCTGGGAATTTTTTTTTTTCTATTTTCTCAGACAGTATATTTTAATGTGAATATCTGTTTAAAGTGAATTTTGTTAACATTTAGGAGTACATTTGCATATAAATTGCCTGAAAGCAAACACATGTCGACTACAAGCCACAAACTTCAGGTGCCAAATTACAAATAGCACTTTTAAAAATCATTGGTTCATGTGAACGTGCTAGATGGACTTCTTTGACCACTGTGATGCATCTAGCTGTTAAAAAAAAAAAAAACTCAAACACTGAAATTGGAGTTGACATTTATATTAAACAGGACTTTGGGTACGTTTGAAATAATAACCTAATTCTCATTCTTTCAGCATTTGACCAGACATAAATGTGTAAAAAAAAAAAAAAATATATATAAATATTTCCAGACTGTATTTTAAATGTGTATATCTACTAAAAGTGAATTCTGTCCATTTTTAGGAGTACATTAGCATATAGATGGCCTCGAAGCAAACACATATTGACTAAAAGCCACAAAACTAATAGCAAATAGCACTTTTTAAAAAAATCATTAGTTTATGTATGGCCATTGTGATGCATCTAGCTGTTTTTTTTTTTTTTAAAGATTAAATTGCTGTTAACATATTTCCTATAAAAACAGGACTTTTGGTAGATCAAAAAGTCAATTTTTCATAAAACATTTTAAATAATATCCTAATTGTTCTTCTAGAGAGCATTTGACTAGACGTAAATGTGTAATCAGCATTTTTGAAAAAATCTTTATTATTATTTTTTTTTTCATTTTCCCAAATTACAAATAGCACTTTTAAAAATGTATTTTGAGCTCAAGTGCAAGAACACTGTGTGAAGGGCCTCTAAAACATAATTCTTTTAAAATGACAACAGATTTTTGAATATAAGAAAAGACCCCACTCGTATATTAAAAAGTGACTCTAGTTCAGTTGCTAAGTGGACCAAATGTCACCCTGACATGAACTGAACAGGATAGACTGTGTGTGAGAGCACTTGCACCATTTTTACATTCACACCAGCATGCAAGGAAACAAGCACAATGGTGCTTCAGACGAGATGATACTTCCTGGGTCAAGAGCAGCTGTAACAGTGACAGCAAAGCATGCATGATACGGTCACCTCTCAAAACATGCCAACTGCAAAAGCAGAGCCATAGGCAAAGGTTTATTGTTGAAAAAGAGTGCAAATATTGTATTTAAAGAGTATATGAAGCCTGATACAGTGTAACTTACATGTTCACACAGATGCAAAACCGTATATTATGGAAAATGAATATTTTTTTCCAAATATAAAATATTGCAAAATTAAAATATTCATTCTCTCTGATGCAGTGTGGTCTTCAAAGACAATAAAAAGACATTACGTAACAGATGAGTCATATAACTTCCATAACGAACAGAAAACACAACACAGAGACAGACGCCAACTCCCAGCATGCACTGTGACAGTGGGGACACATGCTCCCATTTGCATTCCAATGCCATTTCCAAAGCTCATGAATGGGACTTCAGAAAATAACATTAAGCATACATGTACATCAGTGTTAGGAAAAAGCTCAAGTATCCCTTTTATTTTGCCTGCGTTCAGAATGGAATGCTAGCTTCTTGCATACTGTGTACACAGTATATTACTTACTATTGTTGGAAAACAGAATGAAAGAGGATGCAATATGCAATGAGAATGATTCAGAAAATAGTATGCTACATTGTTAGCATGACTGCATTAAGCTGCATGTTTAATTAAACAAGCAGTATGCAGTAAGCAACTCCGAAATGAATAAAAACTTTTTTGATATAATTACATAATTTGGTACAGTGTTGTTCTTGACTAACACTAAATATAACTAAAACTAATAAAAATTGCGTTAGTTAAAATAAGGCTTAAATAAAATAAAATATTACATTAGAAATTAAATTATTAGAAATAAAAAATAAAACAATAAATGTCACTTTTGCAACTAACTGTAATAAGTTAAAGCTGAAGTACTAAAATCACTCAAACTAAATCTGAAATAAAATCAATTAAAGCTAAATAGAAATATATGAAAAATATATATATAAAAAATTAAATAATTCAAAATATTATTAAATGCTATATTAGTATATAAATAAAATGATCAAAATAAAAAATTATAAAATAACATTTAGTGTAAAATGCCATAAAATTATTGAAATTATTAAAAAGAAGAAAAAAAAGAGATGCTCATTCATCATGGAAATTAAAAGGTTAAACCAAGAGCATTGCATGATGGGATACAGAACCCAGCATAATATGCTCTGTTGTATACTGCACATTTAGGAAAATATAGTATTCCATGCATACTAAATATTTTTAGCATGTGTAGTATGGTAGTATTCCATTCCGAGCAAGGGTATCAATTACCAAAATAAAATAAAAAGTCAATGTGAATGACTTTTTGCTCACCAGCTTAAATTCTCCCATGTCTCACCCCAAAAAGCAGCACACCCTTCAAATAGCACCAATCCAAATAAGAATTGTAACATGGACCAAGTCTGAGATCAGGGCGACGCACTTCTTATTCAAGTTAATTACTTGTTTCAGAGGAGATCGGAGCCGTAATTCCTGCTTTCCCGCTCTCTGTTAGGCAGAGAGGAGCCTGGGAGATGCAAACACAAAGCAAACCATCAGAAGTTTCTGTGGGCATTTCCTTGGCACATAAAAGGGATACAACAGCTGCCTCTAGAAAAGTGGGCGGCTGGTTTTCAGTGTGCTGGTGTGTTCGTCTGCTGGCCTGTGGTGCAGAGAGCGAGGCGTCTGCCGTGATGAGGTGCGCCTCACCTCGTCAATTTCTTGGGTTCGGTGAGAGGGGTTGGTGGGGGCAGGGGTTTGCTCGTGTTAGGCTCCAGCTGGTGAATGGGGGAGTTGGGGATGGGCTCGAGGCGGTTGGGCTGGGGCTGGCCGCTCCCTGTCCCGGAAGCCTCCACATTGGCCCTAAGATTGGCCGAGCTGCTGAATCGGGTGGCTGATTTGTCGTTCTTTCGCTTTTGCTACATAGGATGACAAGAAAAGCAAACAAAAAAAGGAAGTTGGGAGAGCTTGATGCTCCATTTTTAAGAGGTTCTCCCAATGATTGCTTCCTAACAAACGCCCACCCTGACAGTCAAGCTCGCAACACTCAGCAGAGGAAGCATCTCAGCCAATCAAATCAAAATGAGTCGAATAGAGATGTGTCAGAGGAAGAGGCTGTTGAAAATTTCAGACTGAAAGAAGAATGGCTTGGAAAGCAAAGAAGAACTGGATGTCTAAACAGGAAGAGAACGCAGAGTAACGAGACACACTGACAATCACACGTGAACACACACACACATACAGTATATGCACATGTAATCACCGACACTTGGAAGTTATAGAACATAGATGAGGGCAACAGTGAAATATCTGGTCAAACAGAATGACATTGTTTAGACTGGGTCAGGAACTGCTGTGACGTATGGAACAAACATAATTTTCTCTTAAGCTCTGGAAAAAGAAAAAGTTAAAGGGATGGTTCACTCAAAAATGAAAACTCGGTCATCATTTACTCACCCTTGCGTTGTTTCAAACCTGTATGACTTTGAATTATGTACTGGCTTTTTTCTATGCAACTGCAAGACTTTTAAGCTTCCAAATGGGCACAAACGGACTATAAAAGAATCCTAAAAGTAGTCTTCTGAGCTCATACGATAGCTTTAAAGATCAGATGAACAGAAGTTATTTGGTAACATTGTTCCTGAATCAGAACGATTCAAAAGTGAATCATTCACATTCACTGACTGACTAAAAATATCCAAAATGAAATCTAAATTGTAAAAAAAACTGAAATAAACTATAAATATATTTAACTTAAACTTAAATGTTGCCTTGGCAAATAAATAAAATAAATACATTTAAGTTAAGTTCTTATTTAAGCACAACAATTCTAAAACTGAAACAAAGCTAAATGGAAATATTTGTAAAAAATTATAAAAAAGACAAAAAAAATACTAAGACAAACTAAAATTGAAATTAAAACTGCAAATATAAAATTAAACACTAATTCAAAATATTAAAATACTAATAAATACTTCAGTATATTCAATTATTTTAGTATAAAATAATTAATAAAATATTTTTAGCATTGGTGATCTGGCAGTATTACATGCCAGGCTAAAAAATAAAATGAAAAGAACATTTCATTTACAAATAAGAATAAGAAAATATATCATACGGCTTCAAAAGAATTGAAATATAGTTCACAAGTCACATGGGATACTTTTCTGATACTTTAATATGGATTTGCTTTTTTTAAGCTTGAAATCTTCAGTCCCCATTCATTACAACTGCCTGAAAGAAACCATCCAGTACAATATAATCATTTCTTCTGCTAGCATTGCATGCTTGGAATGACATGAGGGTGAGAAAATGATGTCAGAATATTCATTTTTGGGAGAACAATCCTTTTAATAATGTGTGTGTGTATGTGTGTATGTGTTTGTGTTTGTGTGTGTGTGTGTGTGTGTGTGTGTGTAAGAGCTCCAGCAGGCATGTCAGTTGTATTGCCTTTGATTACACACTCCATTCTAACCAGGCACAACACATCTGCTAAAGTCATTTTCATAGTAATCAGAGCATATATGATGTTTAATATACAGCTGAAAAACAGGATTTTGATCCACTGAGATTTCACTGTGGAACCAAACAACCGCCACCATATCTGTTGCAGCAGGTTGGGAACCAATTAGCAATGTACACAAGTAATTAATCACTTTTTGCTTTTTTGTGTCATGCCTGGCTAGAATACAGTGTAAGAAATGACATTTAAGATGAACTATCAAGCACCATTCACTGCTATCATTTCCAAAACTTAGTGAGCTGCCTCAGTGTCTACTGTTTATATATTTGAAACAATGTTAAGGGGATGTATATACACATATAAACATGCATTTTATTCAATTTCTTTGTGCTCTGCAAAGCTATTTGAAAAGAGTGTATGCCATGCGAACAGCCAGCATCCAAACTAAAATGGAGCCTAATCAGATCACTAGGTTTTGGACCAGCAACTACGTCTTAAACTAACCAACTACCAGCTCCACACACAAGGACATAGTAGAGTACAAAGAAGAACTCTTACCTTAACAAGAGGGTTAATGACACCAACATTTGGGTTTGTGTTGAATATTTTGTTGAAGTTGGTCTCTCTGTTGACAAGCTCCAGCTGGTAAAACTTTTTGTCATCCTGGAAGGAAAAATAGATTCTCTCATGATACTCATGGACATTATAACTCCACTGATATAAGAGTCTCCAGAACATGTGACTAAACACAAACATCTGCTACTAAGTGTTCTGCCAGCTTAAATATATGAATAAAAACCAATTGTAAGCTTCTATTAAAAATACTATTTCATGCGATGATACAAATGGTCAAATTGTTTAATATATTTTTTGTATGTGCATTATACATGTCCATACATTACGAAATTCTATTTTAATTCGAAAATATATATTTTTTATAAAATCACAAAAATAGCCATGATAAAATGTGAATTTGTTTTCCCATTAAAAACATACATTTTAATTAAATGGTGTTCTCTGGTGGTCTATTTGATATTCAAAGTTTCTTTATATTATCTTCTTTACATACATCAAATATCACATATCAATGGAAGCCTGTTTCATCATTAAATAAATAATAAAAGGTAATTCAGATTTTTTATCTAACAATTTGAACTTTTTTGAGAAAAAATGTCATGACTGCGAGATATAAACTACTTATTACTTTCTCGCAATAATGAGTTTACATCTCACAATTCTGAACTTCTATCTTGCAATTTTGTTTACGCCATGAAATGAAAAATTTAAAATGTAATTGTGACATTTTATCTCACAACATTGACTTTTGGTTTCTCAATTGCAAATTTATTTCTCACAATTTGGACCTTTTTTCTCAGAAGTGCTAGATTATATGTCCCAATTCTGACTTTTTTTTTCAGAAATGCAAGTTTATTTCTTGAAATTCTTTTGATTTTTTTTTTTTTTTTAATTTTTGCCTTTTTTTTTATTCTGATAGGACAGTAGCTGGACAGGAAGTGAAGCGGGAGAGAGAGGGGGACATGATCGGGAAAGGTCTGCGAGCCGGGACTCGAACTCGGGACATCCGAAGCTACAACAGTTTTATAATCTTTAATATCAAACCATATCTATGTTATTTTCATTTCAGCTTTGGTTCAGTTCAGCTAATTAACGGAACTGCATTCAACTTCATTCGTAATCATTTGTATGTATCACTGAATTTAAATGGTTTTAATTTCAATGCTTCAGGTGAATTTTCTGTCGAAAAACCAGCACAGCTGGTGTAATTTTAGCAGGTGTTAGTGTAATTTTATTGCAGTCCAAATTGGAAAGATACAAGAAACATAGATGCCAAACATTTAACGCATTTTAGTTTGCTATTTTTATTAACAAAGAAAGTATTTTTCGTAAACATCCATTGTTTTAAGGAGTGAATTTCATAGAAAAAGCGTCTGTCGCTGTCTAGAGCAGGATTAAGCTGGTCTTTTCAGCAGGGCTGTCTGCTCTGAAATAGATCTCTCCCTCCAGTCTTGCGAGGCTCTGCTAATCTCAGCAGGACAGAGCACCCGTGGGACACCTCGTCTTGTATAACAAGATTCACAGCTGAGAAATTTGACAATAAACCTCATATATTGTGAATGAGGATGTCACACTTCTTAAACGTGCTCTTACCACCAGTTTCTTGACTAAAGATTCTCTCTCGGTCACCATATCCTTCAGTTCGGCTATTGTCTGCAGATCTTCAGGCCTGCTCTCTCTGTTCCGGAATTTTTCTTCTGTTCCCTCCAACCTGAGGAGCAAAGACGTATGATTTAGGATGACATTTTCTCTACAACCTTTAAATCAGTTGTTCTCAATGTCTATATGGTTAGTTGCATGCTATTATGTTTTCCCCAGTCAAAGATGGTGGATGAGGTGAAAGAAATTTTGAATATAAATGAACTTATATATCAACTAGTTGATGAAAATGACCAATAATTGACTGTTTTACACAGTTTTTTGTTTTCATTTTCATTAAAGCATTGTTGCTTTAGCTTAGCAACATGCTACACTCTAAAAAATGCTGGGTTAAAAAGGGACAAACCCAGCTATTGGGTTGTTTTGACCCAGCGGTTTGGATGTTTTGAACCCAACCGCTGGGTCAAAACAACCCAATAGCTGGGTTTGTCCCTTTTTAACCCAGCATTTTTTAGAGTGCAATGATATAATTTATGAAATCAATTGAAATAGCATGCAAAGAACTATTTGTGTAGGTAGTGAAGTTGTTGCTGACTATGCAGAACACTTCAAATCGTGCACTAAAGAGTTTCCATGACGATTAGGATGCTGTCTAGGCAGCAAGTCAAGTCACATGGTTTAGCTATCAACCCTCTCGCTACTGTGTTTACAATCAGTTTGTCATCTGTTTGGGCTTGTGACTCATTACTAAGAGTGAAATTGGACTATTCTGACACATTAGCTCAAAACTGATGCCTTTGTGCTTTGAAAGCAGAATTAATGAAACACCATTGATCATATCAGTGTAATGATATTGGCATCTGCCTTTCATTTTCTCACATTGTATTAGTGTGATAGTTAAAATCATCAGCAGATTTGAATAGCCGTCACTCAATCTTTCTTTCATCTACAGAAATTCTTTGATGATCAGTGTTGTCGAGGATCAATATCTCCGCCGTTTCTGCTTTTTTGAAGGGATGTTTCAAAATGTGGGATGAATCTTTAACGAGCATGCAATGTGACGCTTCCCCAGAGGTATACAGTGTTAAGATTGATGGCTGTTTTCTTATAATAACCTTCCCTAAGGTCTTCACAACTGCTTGTAGTAATAATAAAACTGAGGCTGTTTTCATGTTTTAAACTGCTGCAAACAGAGGAAAACACTGCAGTTTTAACTACTAAGGGCAAGTTGATCTATTCAGACTAAATACAGAATTCTATCTATCTATCTATCTATCTATCTATCTATCTATCTATCTATCTATCTATCTATCTATCTATCTATCTATCTATCTAACTAACTAACTAACTAACTTCCATCCTCCTATATCTATCTATCTATCTATCTATCTATCTATCTATCTATCTATCTATCTATCTATCTATCTATCTATCTATCTATCTATCTATCTATCTATCTATCTATCGATAATTATCATAGATAATTATTAGCTGACCTCACGTTAAAAGCTAAAACTATGAATACGAAATGTGACCCCTGTAAACAGGCTCATAATAGCTGCTCACTGAACGGGCCTTTCTGAGTAAATAACATTGTTCTCATCAAGCCTATTTATCCATTTAAAGTGACAGCAGCAAAACAGCAACAAAAAAAAAAAAAAGCGCCTGCAGAGTGCACTCGAGCGGTTACAGTAGAGCAGCCCATGCTCCACACACACGTAGGTGGTTGTTTATAGTACTTGTGATGACAAAGAGTAGAGTTCTGGTCATCATCATTATTATTTGAATATTTATCTGTTTGCTATTCTATTTATATATCTAAATATTATTGTCCATTTAAAGTGACAGCAGCAAAACAGCAACAAAAAAAAAAAAAAAAGTGCCTGCAGAGTGCACTCGAGCGGTTACAGTAGAGCAGCCCATGCTCCACACACACAAGGATAACTGAGGATCACCGAACACATGAAATATTCATGAGACTTAAACAGGCTGAAATTTAAAACTGGTTGGAGGACTCGGTTTAGGGAAACTCGGCTGTCATAATAATTAATTGCACATAAGACAGGACTGTCATTTCAATAGATTTGTGTTATGTTTAATTAGCTGGCTGTGTATCTCTGCTCTTCAGGGACACCTGGAGATGGCATGCCTAGGAAACGCTGAGGGATACAAGTTCTGACTGCTTCACACGAGACCTCATTCTGTTCAGTCACAGACTGACTGCTAATCATACAAAAAATACTTGCACCAGGAAAAAGTTCAAAACATAATTTAAAGGAATAGCTCACCTTAAAATCATGTACTCACTCTCATGTCATTAGTAAACCTGTATGAGTGATTATTTTGTGAAACTCAACAGGTTTTCCAAACAATTCAAGTGAATGAAGCTGTCAAGCTCCAAAATGACAAAAATACACCATGAAATAGCATAAAAGTAGTCCTTTGTAGTTGACTTGTGTACTATATATGTTTCCTGAAGTCATAAGATAACAATCAATATACAGCAACCGGTGAAGAACGATTGAGTGAGTGAGTACTGAACAAATTATTCTAATGAATTGGTTCTTTTTAGTCAATCAAGACTTTAGTCAAAAAATGACTTATTCAAATGATCCCAAATATTTATTCCATAAAAAGCACTAAAAGAATAATGGAAGTTCACAGAACGGGAATCGTTAAGAAGAATCAAAACCACTAGGGATGGGAATCATAAAGAATTTAAGGGTTTTGATTCTGAAGAACAGATTGAAATTGACTAATTTGTGCTTCAGCATATTCAAACTTGGTGCATTAAGATCAGCTGCCAGACACAAGACAATTAATGACATTTGTCAAGAAATAATGGCTTAAATTGGTTTAAACTCACACAGAGTTATCATTTGATTTCAGAATACCTGGAATACAGCACATGAGTCATATGGACTCCTTTTATTATGCTTTTTTTTGTCATTTTTGGAGATTGACAGCATCAGTCTGCATTCAATTAAAAAGAGCTGCATGAATATCTACCTTTTTATTTCAGTGAAGAAAGAAAGTCAAACAAATCTGGAACTACAAAGGGAAATAAATAAATTATTGAATGAATGATAGAATCTTAATTTTTGGGTGAAGAATTCCTTTAAGATCAGTCCTTCATACCCTTTGTCTTATGAACACACAGTAGAATTGTTTTCACAGATGGATTTGATAAATGATTAATTAAAACCTCTAGGATTTAAAAGCACTTTGTTAAATGCAATTCTATCTTTCTGTTGTATTTGGTAGGCTGTAGGGCCTTTCCATGTCATGACACACACTTCCAGAATCTAAATTATTCATTATCATTCTCAGTTGTGAATACTGAGTGGATTGAGGCAGTCAGATTAACTATTTTTATATGACAAGCTGTTCAATAGCTGGATGTGTTGGTAAATTAGGTCACCTCTGACAGCAATATCTACAGTAAGAGTTCTTCTACAACCCTGCCAATTTTCTATATTTACACACACACCACACACAAACACACACATACACACACACAAACACACACACACACCTCCTGTTCGTATATGGCTGTCTTTCTGACTCAAATTAATCTAAACAAGTTTATCATTCAAAGTCTGTAGCTGATATATAAAATGTACCATTTTAAGCAAAAATTAGGGTGAATATGAATAAACTGGGACATTTTTTTCCATTCATCTCTATGACAAAAAGTGTCCCAATTTACACAAATTCACCCTAAATAAATTATTCACACATCTAGGGCAATAATATTCACAATACCATCTGTTTTTTTTTCACTAACCAACCACCTATAATCCATCCATTTTTACAGCGCTCATATACACTGTAAAAATGATTTTTTTATAAGTTGTAAATAGATTATTGCAGTACGTTTTAAAAGAAAATACAAATTCAGTCTTTCTAATTAAAAATGCTGTTTAATTCAGTATTATTTGCCATTTCTTTGTAATTATTTCTGAGTGTAAATTGTTTCTACACCAAATTTATTTCAGTGTATTAATGTGGCATAAATATTTAAATCAAATCATTGTCATTTTTAGAGCAAACAAACATTGCGCTACAACTAGAAAGCAGACAACAAACAAAAATGGGTTTAAAACACATTTTACAGTAATCATAGCAGCAATAATTCATCAAATGATGATTCAATGAAGGAGAAGAGCATTAGTTACATGCTTGCTTCTCCATATGAATGGTGTACCTTGTCAGAGCACAAAATAACCCTAATCCAAGCACAAAAAATACACATAAACAGCATGATTAGTAGCTAAAGGCATCTGCTATCTTTCTGAGCTGCCTTGACAGGGTCGTCTGTTCTGCTCTCAGTTTTCGCTTGATATATATCTAGATATCTTCTGTCTCCCTCCCAGCATCTCTTCAGAAACATTGTCCTCATCTCCTCCCTCTCTGTGTCTACATCACAGTCTGGTGTCCTTTTCTTAGCATTCAAGCTGTTTCATAGCCTCTGTCACCAAATGCATTGAAACAACCAGTCAAAACAGAAGTTACAAATGCTTCATCCTACAAAATAAGCATACTGTATATTGTATACGGACTAGAGCCCTGCATGGGCCTCAAATATAGGCCCTAGCCCGGCCCTGGCCCGAGATGCTCAGGCCCTAGCCCGGGTCCGGGTCCGACAGCTCATCAGAATTCTTGGCCCGAGTCTGACCCTGAGCCCGTTTTTTTCCCCCTTCTCCCAAAACAGCTTATACTACCGTTTCAGCTATTAAAATAGTTCAGTTTTGTATGTAATATCAAAGTGATTATATTTCGTTTCGTTTTTTAAGTTCATTTAGAAAAACGTTTGGAGCATTTTTTTTCCCGTTACATGTAAGTTTTTGTTTTTTAAAGTAACGACCAAGCGGCCAGCGGCAGACATGCAGTGAGTTGATCATAGCCTATGTTTGATCAATTTAGCCTTCTCAAATCATCACAACTTGCTTAAAAGTTAATCTACAGATATAAAACAGTTCAAGCATATCACAATTAGGGCTGCACAATTAATCAAATTTCTAATCGCAATTACAATTACGTAATCGTTCAACGCGGCAATTAATCGTTCAAAGTCCACTTATGTTATTCTGTGTGCTTAAGATGTTTTTTTTTCTTTCTACAGGTAATCTTAAGGGTTTTTCCACTGTTTTATTTCTATAACATTATAACATTTGAGACTTAATGCTATAGAAAAGCAATAAAAGTTTTTCAGTTAGTGTTTTCAGCTTGTTTATTTTCATCGGTTGCTTCAAACAGTGGTATAAACATCATTCAATGTAAATTGTGATAATCGTAATTATTAATCGCAATTACAATTTCAAGGGAATAATCGACAATTATGATTTTTATCATAATCGTGCAGCCCTAATCACAATGTTAGTTTAAATGTTTAACCTATATAAATGTGTGCTATTAGACGCATATCTAATCGTTTGTGCGGAGAGCTAAAGCACGCTTTACAGGACATGGAGGCGCCGGCGCGATCACTTGCATTAGAAACAACTTAAAATATGCCGTAATTTTTGCTCATAAAGGTAAGAATAATACATCACTTGGAACTGTAAAGGGTCTACTTTTATTTGTGGGCACTCACAATATCAACAAAACGTTGTGCTTTTATAAAATAAAGGATACATACAGGATGCGCTTTCTGCAATTTCGGCTAGGAACGCTTCACAATGATGAACCGAAACTCAGCGAATACTTGCCTCACAGACTTGCTAAATATATCTATAGAAAGCTTTAAATTACCACATTAAAATGAAATACTTAAAATCGAAAACAAAAACTCTTTCATTATAAAATCCGTAAAGATGCATTTCTCTCTAAAGGCGCGTCCAATGAGGAGATGGCGAGTCAGGATCATCATCTTCACCTTTGCGCCAAGGACTCAGAAAACACTAATTTATTAATAAATAATTAAAATATCTCCTTACTATTTCCCCCGACACATTCCAGGTAATTACTTTTGCTGAGGCTTTGTGGCACGCTTTAGCCTATTGCATGCGTTTTGTGCTGTCATGTGCAAGGATATGTTTGCAGATTCTGCACTGCACATAACCAATTGGCTCACTGTTTGCCGTGGTAATCAAATCAAAACTCTTCCAAAATGCAGCTTTTCCCGAAATATTGGGAACTTTTAGTAACTCCCCACGCTCCTACTTCTCCCTGATGCTCTGCACGGTCAACTGTCACCTGTATGCTAATATGTGCGTATATGCGTTGCGTATTGCCTAGGAGATGTATAATATTTATAATATAATCAATATAACAATATTTCATACAGTAGCCTATGTGTGCTCTGCGCATATATGGGCACAATGAAAGTAGTGAAGCTAAATGAGCCCGAGTCCGACCTGTAAAAAATTAAAAAAATGGCCCGAGCCCGGCCCGAATGGGACCCGACAGGCTTGCAGACCTCTAATACGGCCTCTTTTGTGGTGCATGAACTCACAGGATCTGCAGGGCGGAGATCTTGTCCTTCAGCAGTTCCTGGGCCTTGTTGAAGTCTGACAGCATGTTCTGTGTTTCTCTGTGGTGGAGAGCGTTCAGCTCGGCCATCTCCCGCTCGTGTTTCTTACACAGGTCCTGCTCATGAGCTCTGTGAATACAACCACACACACACACACACACACACACACACACAC